GTGGTACTGGTGGTGATACTGGGAAACTGGAGTGTCTAAGGGAATTGTTTGTGTGACTTGTGGTTAGCCAGTGGGGTGAGACCAAAGTCCTCTTTGTCTGGCTGGTTTGGTTTGCCTTAGAGGTGGAAAAACCCCAGCCTTGGGCTGTAACTGCCCTGTTTAAGCAATTTGTCCTGAATTGGCACTCTCAGTTGGGTCCTGCCAGAACCGGATTGTTACAGGCCGCAATAAAGGATCACAGCCCCTATGAGCTGGGCCCTGCATAGCCATTTAGTGAGAGACAGTCCCCACCCCAAGGAGCTCACAGTAACAGGAAGCAATAGTTTTCTGCTCTGGCTTGTGTTGGTGAAGGATATGAGTGAGTTTGTGTGTATGTGTGGGGCAGTTGGCAGCAAAGAATCTGTTGGTGCCAACTGCCATAGGGCATTGCTGTATATAGGCGTACTGGGATCCCCCTGCGTTCAACAAAAGAATGTCATGTAAGGTCTCTAATAAAAGTCTGTATCACACTGGTCATTATAACCATTGTGAGATGCATGTACAGAAAATATGTGAGGAGGTGTGTGTATGTGTATATATATGCTATGCTTCTGGGAGACATCCCAGACAAGTTTTATATATATACTAAAAAAATATGTTCTCTAGGTCTGTAGTTAAAAATAGGTCACTCAAAGGTAGCACTTCTTGAGACAAACTCCTTCACATAGGGGTTGGAGACACTTATCTCCATGGGAGGAGGCACTGTACATTCTGTGTCATACAATAGGACTCTATTAGCATTCGTTGTCAAATGCTAATGAAGAGTTGTTAGAAACTTCAGCAAGAAGCTAACCGGAAGAGGTAAACAGCCTGAGGTGGAGGGAACCCTACCTTGAGGTGTACTCAAAGCTCTGTTCTGGTATATTGAGGTTGCAAAGAGACACCCTGGCAACCTTCACCTATGAAGTAAACTCACTTGAGTTTGCTTCATGAAATGGGGATCTCAGTCAGGCTTGGCTGAAAGCACTGGGAAGAACTTTGTGTGAGGTGATGTTCTTTGGACAGGAGGATAACCTGTTAGTTAAAGTTAGAATTTCATGATGTTGTTTTACATGTAACCATTTGTTCCCATCTCTCACACCGATTTTCATTTAAATCTATATTCTTCCTTAAATAAATCTCATTTGTTTTATACTTGAACTCACATCCTGTGTGGAATACAGGAGCGGTGGTTTAAGATAAAAACTGGCAAACTGTGGTAAGCTGTTCCTTTGGGAACAGAGGATCTGTGAATTCTCTGGGTATCAGTGATCAAGGGCTGGCCCACAGAGATATCGCTGATGTGACTGGGGCTTCAGGGGCTGGAGCGCATCTGTTGTCAACCTGCAAGGCAAAGACAGGACTGGTGTATCCCAGAGGACACTCGACCTGGTCTTTACCTCATCTCTAGTTTCCTAACTTATCTTGTCCATTGTTAGTAAATGGTTCTCCCTCCCTGGGCTGTTTTCCTTCTTATCTTAGCTGGCTCAGTCTATCTTTTTAGCCAACTGAAGTATTGTCTTATCTTATTTAGCAACAATCTCTTTACTTCCCTAATTCTATCCTCCAAGTAATGGGGCCTCCCTCCATGTGTCAATTACTCATGTCAGGACAGGCCTCTGCTACTCAGACAAGCCTCCCTCATGCTGGAGGCTGGTGATAACAAGGTGACTCACAGCCCTAGATGCCCTGAGAAGCATCATGGGGGCAGGGTGGATTGGCTGAAACTGGTTATACCCCAGATAGTTAAAGTGTAGCAATTCTGCTCAACTCACCATGGGAATAAATTAAGGCTATTCCTTAGGTAGAGTGGATGAACCCTTGCTCCAGATTAATGTGTTGTCATGGGCTATTGTATGATTTATAGCCCTAACCCTCTAGGATGGGGGTGGGGAGAGGAAGGAGCCTCTCTGGGCAGGCTATTCAGATCCCGGGTCTGAAACTACTAACAGCCCTGACCTTAATGAACAAGATCAACACTTGTTTCCTTGTCCCCCTCCCACCCCCCGACGCAGGATTTCCAATTCCCAAACCTGATGTGATCTCCCGACTGGAACGAGGGGAGGAGCCGTGGGTCCCCAATCTCCAGGGCTATGAGAAAAGGGAGATCCTGAGAGAAGCCCATGTAGGTAAGGAAACAGCTAAACTGACTGAGAAACCAATTCTTGTATCTTCATGGCAGACATCACTCATAGGTTTTCATCAAGCTTGCCTGACCTTTCAGCCCCTGCCTTCATCTATATTCAGAGGATGTAGAGGCAGTATGGGTCCCCTTCTCTCTCCTCTGGGGAAAAGGTTTGGGAGGATGGGGTGGATTCAACTCCTGATATTTCAATCTCCCCAGCAGTTGTGTGTGTGTTCCCCCATTTTCTCTTCCTCTTTCTGAGGTTTCTTTCCCCTCCCACTCTACTCCGGCACAGGCAATGACTCCTGTCTGCATTCTCTCTCTGTCTCAGCAGGTAATGCGACACTGAATAAGAATGAGGAGAATCCTCAACAGAAAGTTCCTGAGCAGGTGGATTCACACAGGATGGTATCAGGGGAAACCAAAGGGGATGTTTCCCAGAATCCTGATCATGTACATACCTGGGATAGTCAGCACAGGCCAGAGAGGCAGCAGGGAAACCAGCCAAGGGAGAGGCAGGGTAAATCCACTCAGAAGAGAAGAGGGGCCAACCAAATCAAAGATATTGTTCAGCAGAGAGTCCCCACAGGAGAGAGACCCTACATGTGCAGTGACTGTGGGAAAAGCTTCCGGTGGAGATCAGCCCTTATTACTCACCAGAGAATCCACACAGGAGAAAAACCCTACAAGTGCCCTGACTGCAAAAAAAACTTCAGACAGATCTCAGCCCTTACCTATCATCAGATAATCCACACGGGAGAGAAACCCTATAACTGCCCCGACTGTGGGAAAAGATTCAATCAGAGCTCACACCTTATTAAGCATCAAAGAATCCACACTGGTGAGAAACCCTATAACTGCCCCAACTGCAGGAAAAGCTTCAGTCAGAGCTCACACCTCATTATTCACCAGAGAATCCACACGGGGGAGAAGCCTTTTAAATGCCTGGAATGTGGGAAAAGCTTCAGTGTGAGCTCACACCTTGCCGCACATGAGCGAATCCACAGGGGAGAGAAGCCCTATAAGTGTTGCAACTGTGAGAAAACCTTCAGTCAGAGCTCATACCTCATTATTCACCAGAGAATCCACACAGGGGAGAAACCTTTTAAATGCCCAGAATGTGGGAAAAGCTTCAGTGCAAGCTCAAACCTTGCTGCACATCAGAGAATCCACAAGGGAGACAAGCCCTATAGGTGCCCCAACTGTGAGAAAAGCTTCAGTCAGAGCTCAGCCCTCACTAATCACCAGAGAATCCACACAGGAGAGAAACCCTACCGATGCAATCAGTGCGGGAACAACTTTAGTCAGAGCTCAAACCTTATTTCGCATCAGAGAATCCACACCGGATACAAACAGTAGAAATGTCCTGGCTAGGGATGGGCCAAGGGAATAACACCTTTGCCGATTCCCCTGAATCTCAGAGGGTCAGGCCAGGCTGGAGTGGCCATGCAATGAGGACATGCAACAGTTACTACAGTAGAGAATGAAACCATCTTCCTGGAACTGAGTTGTGCAGACCCAGAGGCTGAGATAAGATTTCCATGTTGTGATCTGCATGTGGAGCCCCACACTGAGCTAGATTGCATGAATGCATAGAGCCACTCATGAATCACACAGAGAAAGGCACCAGCGAAATCCACCCTCCCAGCCTTGTACCTCAGGAATATACCATCTTGCAAATTTATTAATTGGTTCACCACTTCATCAATGGAAAGTGGATATACACCAGCCTTTGTAAACCTGAGCGAACACCCTTACCCAACACTTCAGGCAAACTCACTGGTAAAGGTAAACAGTTAAACACATTTATTGACTACAAAAGATAGATTTTAAATTTTATTTTGGTAACCATTCTGATTTTTTGCCTATCACTTAAGCACCCAGTCTAAACTCTCAACCCTATTACACTGGGCAACATATAGATTAAGCAGTTTTTCTCACCCTACTGGATATTGCATTTCATAGTACACAGGTTTCACCCTTAAAAGCTGGGCCAGTCCCTTCTGTTGGAGTCTTCAGTGTCCTTGTTGCTTGCAGCGTAGGTGGGGGAAGGAGAAAGGCCAAGCATGGGGCCCCTGTGTTCTGTTTTATACACTTAGTCCCATGTGCTTGGAGAAAACAAGTTCAGGCATGCCTAGTGGGCATTGCTGAGTCCCCAGTAAAGGTTGAGCAATTCCTCTGGTGTGGCTTTGTGCAAGTGAATCATTGAATTATAACTCCACTGCTGAACAATGGTTGGTGGTGTCTGTTCAGCACCCACCTGGGCATTGGTTACCTCCCTTGTCATTGTCTCTGGAGAGTTAGTATCTGGGTGCCTCCCAAGCCCACAGCATATTTTAGTGACAACCATACAACACAACTCTCATAACTACATATTCATTAATGATATACATATTGCGACAGACCCAGACCAGTGGGGAACAGGAGTCTGGTAGAAGGCAAATATACTGGCCACTGGATGAATATTTTTCTGTTCACTGAGTGACCAGAGCAGGGGCTGCCCTAGAGCAATCAGGGACCTGCTAAAACCAATTAAGACAGGCAAGCTAATTAAGACACCTGGAGCCAATTAAGAACACACTAGAATCAATTATGGCAGGCAGGCTAATCAGGACACCTGGTTTAAAAAGGACCTCCCATCAGCTAGTGAGGGGGCGCGCAAGGAGCAGGGAGTGAGAAGCTGCTGGAGGACTGAAGAGTACAAGCGGGATCAGGTTTCAGGAGGAAGATCCTGCAGTGAGGATAAAGAAGGTGCTGGGGGAAGGCCATGGGGAAGTAGCCCAGAGAGTTGCAGCTGTCATACAGCTGATACAGGGGACATTGTAGACAGCTGCTGTCCACAGGGCCCTGGGCTGGAACCCGGTGTAAAGGGTGGGCCTGGGTTCCCCCCCAACTCCTGATGGGACACCGGAGGAGTTGACCTGGTCTCTGAGAAACAACAGAAGGGAAGGTCTAATTGGGAAAGGGATCTGGCCTGTCCCCGACCCACTAGGTGGGACACAGAGACTGCTGGGATTGTTCTCCCTTTCCCCCATGCTGGCCAGTGATGAGGTTAGTTGAGTGAATGGCAGGTTTGAGCCTCTATCAGAAGCGGCCAAACTGAGGGCTGCTGTGAACCTCTGAGGTGAGCAATTCCGCCAAAAAGTGCAGGACCCACCAAGGCAGAGGAGGAACTTTGTCACACTGGTATCAGAAGTGGGATCTGGGCGCACCACGTGGTGGAAGAAAGAGGGTGTTTTTAAAAAAAAAAAAAGGGGGGGAGGGTTTTTTTTTTTTTTTTTCCCAGCACGATGGATGATGTAGTGCAGGCCCTGATACAAGCCACGGCTGCCCAGCAGGAGGTTACCCGTGTCCAGGCAGCCGCCCAACAGGAGGCAGTGTGGCTGCAGCAAGAGACCAATTACCTGTTGATGGACCAGGCCGCTCAAGACCGTGCTATGTTGCGGGAACTAGTAAACCAGGTGAAGGCTCTTACAGAGCTGAACCGCAGCCGTGATGGGATGTGGGTCATACGGGCCAGCAATTGGCTGCAGAAAATGACACGGGAGGATGACCTAGAGGCATACCTCCTGGCCTTTGAGAGGACAGCCCTACGGGAGGCTTGGCCTCAAGATCAATGGTCTGGCGTCCTCGCCCCATTCCTGTGTGGGGAGGCCCGGAATGCCTATTATGATATGTCTGAAGAGGCTGTGGCAGACTACCCCAAGCTGAAAGCAGAGATCCTGGCCAGATCTGGAATAAAGACCGCAGTGCGGGCCCAGCGGTATCACAAGTCGAGGTACCAGGAATACAGAACCCTGCTCGCACGAAAGTGGTTACGAACCGAGTCTCAGAGTCCAGAAGAGATACTAGAGGTTCTAACTACCGCCAGACCTTTGCACCTGGGTAAACCAGAACGACCCTTCCACCTACGACGAGGTTGTTGCACTGGTAGAGAGGCAAAGGATGGTGAGGGAACTGATCCGAACAGTTAAGGAAGAGGCACCCCGGGTTAAACTAGTGGCACCGACCCCCATATCTCAGGCAACTGAGCCCCCAGGAAAGCTCAGATGGAAAAAGAGAGGGACTGAAGGCCCACCAGAGGCCACCAAAAGTCAAAGCACTGAGGGTGAAGAGGATTGTGACATTAGACTACCCAAACCGAGAGACCAGGGAATGCCGAGGGCCCCATGCAGATGTTACACCTGCGGGGAGTGGGGACACATAGCTGTACAGTGCCCCAATGCTGAGGAGTCTATACAATGTAACCTAGGCAACCGGGAAAATTCATGCTCCCTAATTCATATTGTGGGGGTTGCACTAACCCCACACAAATATACCAGGCCATTGAGGTTAAATGGAGTAGAGACCACAGCACTGATAGATTCGGGGAGCGCCATCACGCTCATCTCAGGAAAGCTCATGAAACGTAGTCAGTTACTACAGGCAAAATGTACAGGGGTGACATGCATCCATGGGATGGTTAGTTACTACCCCACCATCCCGGTAAAAATTGAAATCCAAGGGAACGCCAAAGAGGTAGCAGCAGATGTAGTGCCTAAACTCCCTTACCCGGTGCTCATAGGGAGGTCACTCCCATTGTGCGGGAACACCTAGAGAAGGTGCAAGAGGCCCAACAATCTCAGTACAATTGCCAAGCTAAAGTTCAGCAGTTCCAGCCCGGATACCGAGTAATGGTATTGGTACCCACAACAGAGTAAACTTTTGGCCCAGTGGCAAGGACCCTATGAAATAGTTGAACCCGTTGGGGAGATAAATTACAAGGTGTGACAACCGGGAAGTCGGAAACAAGAGCAAATATATCATGTCAACCTTCTGAAACCCTGGCATGCACAAGAGGCATGCACAGCTGTCCGAAAAGACTCTGGAAGTGGATAAAGGGAATTTGAACATAGAGATCTTAGTCTCTAGGAATAGACCAAGAGTCAGGCTAACAAAGTCAGGCTGACACTGACTCTAATAACGCGAGACTTGAAGGCGGGCCTAGGCGGGTGGAAAGCGAGAAAGCGAATGGGAGCAGACTGTAAGAGATACTGTTTTGACCTTGTGTTAGATAAGAATGGAATGTAGACTGTGGCAGAAATTAATGAGAGAAATGAGATATCAGGAAGAAAAATGTATATACAAAATGCAGCTGTTGTTCATTATTGTATGTAATGAAAGGTATAAAAGCTTGCCTAATTGTTTACCTAACGGAGACCTGTCCATGTGTACTCTCCCGTGCATATTGCAATTGCTCGAAATAAAGCTGCCTCTGGCTTGTTGCTTCAAACTCAGAGTGAGGACTTTGTTTTCCTCCACAATTTGGTGCCATGAGTCGGATGTCAACGCCCGGCTGAGACAGCAACAAACTACTCCGGACTGTTCCCCTGCGAACCCCATGGTGCCATAATAGAGGTAAGAGACCTTTTGAAATCTCTTATGGGGTGTTGCAGGAGGACTGCCCGTGGAGCCGTCTGTCCCTTTGGGGCTCATGCCATCCGAACTTATTGTTTTGCAACAAGACCAGATGCAGAGCGGTTCTGAGGAATTTGTTGCCACCCTCAAGTAAAGTTAGTCATTGCGGTTCTGAGGAATATTTTTTGCCACCCTCAAGTAGGTTAGTTATTGTGGTTCAGAGGTCCTCAATAAGGTTAATGCACCGGTGCTGAGGGGTTTTTATTGCCTCAAATAAGGGAAAGGTTGTATTGAGTCTGGACATAATGAATTAAGGATATTGTTAAATAAGATGCATCGAGATGGGGGAATGAATATGTGTGTGTGTGTGTGTGTGTGTGAATGAATGAATGAATGAATGAAGAGGGGTATGAGCCACTGACCAGGTCTAAGACTAAGCTGACTCCAGCCGCCCCAGGGCTATCCCATGTGGGAGTTTTGAAAGCAAGGGGGGTCAGCCGAACCTTGTGACCCAGCGGATAGGAACTTTTCCTTGTTCATGAGCCACTGAACAGGTCAGGACTTAACCCGCTAGTCGGTGGAACTCATGGCCCAGTGGACCCTTTCCCGGGGATACGAGAGAGTGAGAATTTTCTCTAGTTTATGAGCTGCTGACCTAGCGGACAGGGTGTCTTGTGTGTGTGTAACTCTTCCCTAGTTCATGAGCCACTAGTGGACAGGGCAGTCCCCTGTGTGTCTGGAAAATGGGGTGGGGGCAGTCTAAGAATTCCCCCATGCCATCAAAGGGCACCCCTGCGTATTACATGTATGTGCACTATGGCCCAAGGACCTGCAGGTATTTAGAGAATTGGAATTTTTACATGCGTGATAATTATCCATCCAAACAATTCCCCCTAGAAGGTACCTTCGATCTAGATAAAATTATATACCTCAGAGGAACACTTACATCACCAAAAGCCTCTGATAAACAGTGGGAGCAATTTGTCTATTGGTGGGAGGAAGCTACAAAGAGACTCCAT